AGGGGAGAATGTATTTGAAATCATATATCTGAAAAACCACAAGCATTCAGAATATATAAACATCTCTTAAACCTCAATAAAAAGGCAATCCTATTAAACATTGGCAAAGAATATGAATAATTATTTATCCAAAGAAAATACACAAATGGCCAATGTGCACATGGAAAGATAATTACTCAATATCATGTCATTAGGGAAAATACAAATCAAAATCAAAACTAAAACTTCACATACCCACTAAGATGGTATACTAAAAATGATTAACAAGTGCCGGTGAGGATGTAGAGAAATTGGAACTCTAATACATTGCTCATGGAACATACAATTGGGAATATTAAATAGAGCAGCTACTTGGCAAAACAGTTGGCAATTCCTCAAAAAGTCAAAGTAAAGTTGCCATATGACTCAGCAATTTCACTGCCAGGAATAAACCTAAGAGAATTTAAAACATACATACACACAAAAACTTGCTCACAAATGTACATAGCAGCATTATTTTTATAGTTAAAAAGTAGAAACAACCTAAATGTCCATCAACTGATGAATGGATAACCAAAATGTGGCGTATTATATATGATGAAATATATTTGGCAATAAAGAGAAATGAAATAGTGATACATGCTACATTATGGACACACCTTGAAAACAACATGCTAAGTGAAAGAGGCCAGACTCGAAAGACATATACTGTATGATTCCCTTTATCTGAAATTCTCAGAGTAGGCAAATCCCTTGAAATAAAGTGGATTTGAGGTTATTAGAGGTTGGGAGGAAGAGAGAATGGAGAATGATTGCTAGTAGATACAAAGTTTCTTTATGGGGTAATAAAAATGTTCTGGATATATATATATATAGCAGTGTTGGTTGCCCACTTTGGTAAATATACTTGAAATCACTGAGTATTACACTTTAACAGTGAATTTTATGGTATGTAAACTATACCTCAATAATAAACATTTTTAAAAAGATACATACACTTTAAAAATGTGTAGTGTCAGTCAGTGCCTTTGATTGCCAGACATGCAGAAACATGACAGACCCATGGAGAATTATTTCCTAATATTTCCATCCAAGTCCATAGTATCTTTTTAATGAATAGTTTCTCTCTATATATTTTATATATATTCATATGTATTCCTTATGCATTTACATATATTTTCTTACATATTTAAAACTTATTTATTACAAATACATATGTAATTATGTATTATAAGTTATTTCTTTGAAGTCATTTTTGTATAAATGAAGGCTATAACTTTTTTTAAAGATTATTTTTTTAGAGCAGTTTTATGTTCAGAGCAAAACTGAGTGGAAGGTATAGAGATTTCTCATACACTTCCTACCCTCACACATGCATAGCCTCCCCATATAAACATTCTCCATCAGTGGCATACATTTGTTAAAGCTGATGAGTCTACACTGACACATCATAATCATCCAAAATCCATAGTTTACTTTAGATTTCACTCTTGGTGTTGTATATTCTATGGGTTTTAACAAATGTACAATGACTTGTATCCATCATTATAGTATCATATAGAGTATTTCCCTACTGTAAAAATTCTCTTTGCTCCACCTATTCATCCCTGCCCCCAATCCCAATCCCTGGCAACCACTGATCTTTCACTGTCTCCATAGTTTTGCCTTATCCAGAATGTCATATAATTAGAAACATATAGTATATAGCCTTCTCAGATTGGCTTATTTCACTTAGGAATATGTACTTAGGTCTCCTCTCTATCTTTTCATGACTTGGTAGCTCATTTCTTTTTAATGCTGAATAATATTCCATTTTTTAGAAGTAACACAGTTTACCTGCTCACCTACTGAAGGACATCTTGGTTGCTTACAAGATTTGGCAATTATGAATAAAAGCTACTATAAACATCCATGTGCAGATTTTTGGGTGGATATAACTTTTTAATTCATTTGAGTGAATACCAAGGTGTACAATTGGATCATATGGTTCAGAGTATGTTTAGTTTTATAAGAACCTGCCAACTGTCTTGGAAAGTGGCTGTACCATTTTGTATTCCTACCAGCAATGAATGAGCATTCCTGTTGCTCCATATACTCTCCTGCAATTGGTGGTGTCAGTGTCCTGGAATTTGGCCATTCTGATAAGTGTGTAATGGTATCTCATTGTTTTAATTTGCATTTCCCTCATGATGTAAGATGTGGAATGTTTTTTCATATGTTAATTTGCCAGCTGTATATCTTCTTTGGTAAAGACTATCTAGATCTTAAGTGTTAATTTTATATCCTTATTTTTTATATTATTGTACTGCTTTAAGTGGTTTTACCATTTATTTACATTTATTCTTTTGGTTTTTCCATAAGATGCTGGCTTTTAGTATATATGTATTTAAACTTAAGAGTGGAAGACTTCATAGTTCTAGGTGGGAGAGTGGTGAGGCAGGGAGGCTCAGCAACTATGGGCTGCATTGTAGGGTGATTTTATTAGGCCCTTTCCTTGAAGACCCCCAAATTCAATATAATTAGGTCTTCTGGGTGTAAAATTTCAAAGGAAAGGATCTTTCAGTCTCCTGGCTGGAAAGTGCAATTCTAGCTGCTAGCATTCTTTGAGCTAGATTGAAGTCGGAGTATGAACTTCTAGTATATTCTGATTTTCCTGATATAGAGATCCTGTTTTACCTTCCCCTTATAACAATCCTCTAGTCAGGAACAGATTCCAGTTTTATGAGATCTGAAATTTAAGTAAATGTGGGGCTTTGAGAGGAAAAATAAAAAATAACTTAGTTTTGCAAAGTAAAACCAACAAAATGCCACTTGAACACATTTCTTGGGACCACCTGCCCCTGCCCCCTAATGCCTTGGATGGGGCGCACTCAGGTGTGAGGCCCTAAATCTAAATATTACTTAACTTTGTGGTAAATCTAAATTAACCTCCGATTTTTCTGAAGTGGGGGAGAGGAAATTGCTTAGTTGTGTAGAATTAGGGAGGCATTTGGGGGTCTAAATTGAAAACAAAATTTGAATAAAAAAAGACCTTTATCTCAATTCCTAGAGATACCTGGTACTATGAATTTCTAAGCCTTTTAGTGGGGGTTGTGTTGTAAGATTGTTTCTTGGCTTTCCTCATTCCTGTTTGCAGCTAGCTTTCTTGGGTTTACCAAAGCAGTTTTCACTCATCTATCAATGTTTCAGGGTCTAAAATGTTGATGCTGTTGTCCCTTTTACCATGCTTGATGTTCTTGTACATTTATGCCATTTTAAATAAAGAATTTCATGTCATTTTACTGAGTTTCAAAAAGGTGAAGTTAAGGTGTGTGCTCCCCCTGCTATTGTAAACACAAAAGCGATGTGCCAAAATCACTCTCCAAAGCTGCCTCCCCCTCAAACGGCTACAGCGCTTCACATCCCAGCAGCACAGCGGACGTTGAGTGCACCACCCTTGCCCTTGCCAGCACTCCGTGTTCTCAAAATTTCCCCATCTGGTTAGAGTAAAACTATCTCATTATTTAAATTTGCATTTCCCCGATTACTACTTAGGTTCACCATAATTTTGTTTATTTGCCTCATTTGTTTCCTCTTCTGTAAATAACCTATTCATATAATTTACCCATCTTTTCTAATAATAAAGGGGATGAGAATATGGCACCCCAAAACATGCCACTTTGGCATACTGATTGAGCTGAAGGTAATTGAGAAAAGATACAGGAAGGGCTCTCTGAACTTCCCCTTTCTACCTAAGGAGGGCATAAAATTTGTGAGACAGCTACTCTTCCTTGTACCAGCAAGAGAACATATCACTGAGATGGGAGTTATAAGAATATAGTAATTTATCCTCCATCTACCCCATGGTCTCAAGCACATAAGCCGGTGAGAATCATGCCTGGGCTTACCCCACCTTATCTCTAAACATCCCGACCCTCCCCCAAGGCAATAGGCCAAGCGGATCCACCACAATAAAAGGCACAGCTCTCTGCACCGCGCTGCTGCTCTCTGTCCCCCAGTCCCCCTGCTCTCTCTCTGGGGGCAGCCACTTTCTCTTTCAGATAATATAATCTCTTGCATGGGCCCGTGTCTCCTGAGTCGTCCTGGGTAAGGAGGGTGACAGCAAGATACCCTTTCAGGAGCCACCATCAAGATTGATCTGTATAAATAAACCTACTAAAAAATAACACTTGTCTTTCATTAGTTTCCTCCACATATTTCCTAGTCACCTTCCCACAATTTATCAATCCTAGCCCAAACTTCTTTTTCGTTAGTCTCCATAATTTATTGTCCTTTGTTAGTATGTAGATAAACTCTCAAACCTAGCCACATGTTTGGGTTTTTATTTTTTATATATGAAGCCCTCCATGTACATGTATAAAGATGAACAACAAATAAAATTTGTATGCTTTGCTCCTGTTAAGCTGTCTTTTGTTAAGTTTAATTCTTAGGCCCAGTCAGAGAACCAGGCAGGGTAGATGAAATGTCTTTCCTCCCTTACAGTTGTTTACCTTTTTCTTACTGATTTGTAGGCATCTTTACATTTTTTTTAATTGTTATATAAGTTGTGAATTATTTTCTTTTAATTTTTCTCTTTTTTAACCTTCTTTGCGACATTTGTATTCTAAAACATTTAAAAATTTAATATAATGTGCTTTTTGTTACTATATTAAGAGCTTCCTTATCATAATATCTTAAACATGACTTAAATTTTTCTTTTAATACACACATGGTTCTGTTTTTCACATTCAGGTCTTTAATCCATTTGGAATTTATTTTTATTATGACAAGGGCCTTTTTCCCCACATCAACAATCGGTATATATACTGAATAGTCCATCCAATGATTTGAAATGCCATATTTATTAAATACTAAAAGCTTCTATGGGTATTTTCTAGGTTCTCTACTCTTACCCACAGACTTGACATCTGTGGCAAATATTTATCATAAGCTTTTCAAAACCACTTCATATAGGAAACATCCTTGCAAGAAATTAAATGAGAATTTGCTAACACTATAAAAAAATCAATTATAGACTGAAATAAAATGTCCACTTTAATATTTATGACACAAATGTTTACTTACACTTATCTGAAAATTATGGGAACAGTTTCTGCATGTCACATTCATATTACTATCCATATAAGAACAACTACACATAATCACTTGTATAACTATATCAGGATAGCACACAGATTTTTGTTTTAGAGTTCAGTTAAAACACCAAATAAGGAAAATCAATTTCCAAAGACTGCTGTTAGCAACATAAATAATATGTTATTTCTAAATGTATTACATTTTGACAACTTTGAATTATGCTTACATACTATTATTTCCAAAAACCATAAATTATAGCATGGGTCACTGTCAGGATGAAAATACATATTTTTAAAGCTTTTTAAAAAATATGCTATAATTATGCTTTAACATCAGTTGATTTATTGTTGGCACATATGGCATCTTGGAAAGGAAAAATACACTTGGCCAATTTTGTTGTTGTGCAGGTATAAGAGAAAGAGCACAGTTTGGGAGGCAGACAGATCTGTACTCAATCACCAACTTAGTCCAAATATGTGTTGTGTGAAGCTGGTCAATTACTTCTTGGCACTGGGCCAGGATTAAGTTAAGTAATGCATATTTAAAAATGCATAGCATGGGCACTAATGAATGATAGATCCACTCCCCAATTTATTCACACTGAAGCAATAGCAAAATATCAGTCTATGTTTTGATACAATTGGAAAAACAAAAATAATTCTGGAAATTTAAAATTAAAATCAACGTGTTTTGAAAAAAATCACACTTTTAAGAAGTAAGGAAAGCCTTCATCAGATTTAAATATTTCTCAATAAAACTTAGTGCCTACTATATACCCTGATTAAAAAATAAGTCCTAAAGTATGATAAAATGGTCAGTGGTTAAGGACTTTTGGTTTTCTTTTGTGCTGATATAAAAATAATGGCTATATTTAAGGCTCATTAAGTGATTGTAGATGCCCTGAACCAAATCTATATTCTTGATGTTGCACTATCAATTGAAACAGACCTACTGCCTTCAATGACTATCACAGAGAAACTCCTGTGATATTATGTGTTTGAACAATCATGGCTAATCTTTGCTAATTTTAAGTAAAGGTCCACTCAGTGGCATGTGGCAGTATAGCTCTTCTGTCATTAAGGATGATTCTTATATACACAATCACAAACCCATTTTCCTCATACTAAATACTTGGTTATGGAAGATCTAAGATTCCTGAAAATTAAATTTAAATAGAAATTTAATGTCATCGGAAATAGCCTAGACAGCAATGCTTCCATCCCTCTTCTTGGATCTTTTTGTTTCCTGTCCTGACCACCTAACAAATCATCCTTCCAAATCTGACTCAAAAACCCCTCCTCCAGGAACCTTTCCTTGACCAAACTTCACACACCTCCATTTATGTCCCTGACATGCATGTGTAATTTCTATTAACTTCAAATTACATATATTATTACTATTTATGCTTTGTCTTCTACTTCCAGCTAGGATGTAGTCTCTTTGACATTTTAAGCTTCCACAGTGTTTAGCACAATGCTGCGCATGTATGTATGTGACTGTGTATGCATGTGGTGTGTGTGTGTGTGTGTGTGTGTGTTATGTGTGTATGTATGTTGAAAGAATAAAAGACTAAGAACCTGGGTAGGTGTAGGGTAGGAAAAGTTTCACAACTTCGGAAATCAAAATTGCTAAACCTTCTTAACACTAAAAAATCTGATTTCCAAAGCTATGTCAGTTTGGTTTTGGACATGTCAATAATAAAAAAGGCAGTGAATAAACTGTTTAATAAAACATTTATGAAATCTTCCAAAAGGCTTTTAAATAAACTATTAAAAGTACCAAACCAAAGCATTTTACTAAATAGTGGGATCGCTTTACCTGTAAGTATAAAATGTAGACTTATATTCAAGACAAAGAATAGGTGTTGTGAATCAGGATAAAAAAGGCAATTCACTTTAAGTCAATATCTAATGCACATTTTGTAATTTGAAAAATCTTCTGTGGTACATACATATGTTAAATAAGAGAATGGTTTATATCAGGATGTTGTAGATCTCTATAGTAGTTTTGATACTATAAAATATGACACATATACTGATGTTCTTTAACAAGAAAAATTTTGTTATAGTAGCTGTTAATATTAAAATAGGATATAATAAAAAATTATTCTCAATGTGTATATTTTCAAGTTTGCCTGACAGTGTCCTTTTGAGAAATCTGACAATTTGCAGTTAGATTACAGACATCTGAATTTCACTTTCATGACTGAAAATATTACATATACATAATAAACAACAATATACAGTAGCTTTTTACTGGTGCATTCTGCAATTTATATTAAAGCTTTGCAATAAACATAATTCATTGTACCTTTTTTAAGTAAAATTACACAACACAATGCACATTATAATTACATTAAGAATAAAGCATAAAATTCTGTACCATATTGTTTCAGCTGTCATTCTATATGTTACTTTTATGCTTGTATTGAGTTATAATATATTTTAAACACAAGAACCTTTATTTTTAAAATAATATACTAAAAATATCGAATTTGTAGTATAAACATAAAACTCTTTATGCCTCTTTCTAGGTCATTTAGGAAATAAAATAGGACAAACGGGAGGCAAGGGCAATTCTTTCTCTTACTGTAAAATGCCTCCTTTCTTCCCCATATATTTTTATGTCCTTTCTGGAGCAAATATTGTAAGATGACAGCTTGGCAAATTATAAGCTTATTTAAGTAGTTTCTTTTTTGGAAGAAAAAAATTTAAACTAAGAACTTCCTTTTTTTGGCTTATTCTTTCTCAACCTTTTTTTCTTTAACAGTAGTATAAAAAACACTTCCTGAAATGCTCACTATTAATCATTTTAAATACAACAAAATGAACTGGTTTAATTTACAGAATTAATCAAAATAGATTATCAGTATAGATTACTAGGCTGAGGTCCTAGAATTCATTACACGTAGAGCTAAACTTGCAAGAGAGCGCATGGCAAAAGTAGAAACTTTGTGACATAGCCCAGCTTTTGAAATGTAGTTAGAAGCCAATCGAAAAAGCCTTTCAGCACCAAAGGTATTGAAGTGCCCAGGAAGCACTTTCTCTACCAGACCTCTGTCCACTAATTCTATCAGACGTTCACAGGTTCCAACATAGTCACTTATCCTGCTGTATGGGAGCCAATCAATCAGTGATCCATCATACACGACGTCTCCACTGAAGAGAATCTTTCGGTCTTTGTCATGTAAACAAATGCTGCCCCTGGAGTGACCAGGCATGTGCATAACAGTGAGCTGTCGGTCACCAAGGTTGATCACATCCCCTACAAATGGAAACAGAGTTTACAGATAAACATATTGCATTCTTCACTTCATTTAAAGAATAAAAGGGAAAAACATTAAATGGTTTCAAAGAGGTTGGGAAGGATGATATTTTTTATTTCAAAAATACCATATTTCTTAATGATGATTGAAAAATAAGTTGACCATATTTTATTTCTGTTGTTTCCTAGACTAGTGTTTGTGAAAGTAATGTGGAACACTGTTTTTGCAGATTGTTATGATACAAAAAAGAAAAAATAAAGAAGATTCTGTAGTCAAGAAATTTTGGAAAATCTTCCTTAAAAGAAAATTAAGTCGCTTCTTTTCTTCAAGGCTTCTTACAGTTTTTAATATGCTTTATTCATTATGGAGATACATAAGGGAGATAGGTTGTACAGTTTCTCAAACTTATTTGACCATAAATCTTTTTTCAGAACATCCATGGTACCAGTATCCTGGTGATGCAATTACATCTTAAACAATTGGTATGAATGATAATATTCTGACTATAGCTGTTGCTGTGAGTAATAAACTGCCCTTAGTCTCTGACCCAGGAACCTCTTGTTTCCTGTCATAATCCATTAAACCATTAAACTGAGGCAGGCTAACTTGCTATCTTTCAAGTAGGGTAAAATTTCATATTCTTCTCAGTTATTTGACATCAGCAGAAAATTGAACCATGTAAGTAAAAATTGCTGTTTTACTTGATTTAAGTCAGTACTAACTTGAGTAAATCATCATAAAGTTAAAACCTTCATGTTAATCTATAATGCAAACACTCACAGAAAAAAAATCAAAGAAATATAATTTAAAAAGTTAATAGAGGAATTAAAATGGTATAATAATCAGGACTTCTTCAAGAGAAGACAATAAAGGAGGGAAAGGGATAAACAAGAAATGAGATATAGACAACAAATAACAAAATAGCAGACCTAAATACAACTATTTTGATAATTACATTAACTATGTATGGCACAAATAGTCTAATCAAAAGCAGAGATTGCCAGATTAGATTTTTAAAAAGCAAGATATATGTGCAGTCTACAAGAGAGGACCTATACAGTCAGAGTCAAAAAGTGGTTGAAAAAATTATACCATATAAATATTAATGGTAAGAGAACTAGAGTGGCTATATCAATATCAGACAAAATAAAGAATAATACTAGAGAAAATAACTATTTTTATGAGGCTATATATTAGGTCAATATCTTAAAAAATTAAAATTATAAATGCATATGTATCTAAAACAGAAACTACAAATTCATGAAATAAAAACTGACAGAATTGAAATAAGAATAAGCAGTTTAAGAATTATATTTAGAGATTTCAATATCCCTCTCTGAATAATTCCTAATACAAGTAGATAGAAAATCAGTAAATATACAGAAGACATGAACAATACTATCAACCAACTTGAACTAACTGACATATAAAACACCTCACCCCAAAACAGTGAAGTATACATTCTTTTCAACTGTACATGGAATATTCACCAGGCAGTACAGCTAGGCCATAACTCAAGTTGCAATAAAGGTGAAAGGATCAAAATACAAAGTATGTTATCTGACTACTAACATAATTAAATTAGAAATTGATAACAAAAATAAATGTGGGAATTATCCACATACATGCAAAGTAAACATCATACTTCTACACAACTTATGGATCAAAGAAGAAATCATAAGACAAATTAGAAAATCTCTAGAATTGAACTGAATGAAAATAATAAAATGATTGAAACTTATGCACTGCAGCTAAAGCAATGTTTAGAAGTTTATTGCTTTAAATGCTTACTCACAAAGGATTAACTGTTTAAAATCAATAACCAAAGTTTCTACCTTAAGTTAGGAAAAGAACAAATCAAACATAAAATAAGTATTAAGGAAGAAATAATAAAAGCCAGACCAGTAATAACTGAAATAGGAAACAAAAACAATAGAGAAATTCAAAGAAATCAGTAGTTCTGATACTCACTGGCTAGACAAATAAAAAATTTGAGAAAACAAATTGCAAATATTAGGAATGAAAGAGGAAACACCATTGCAGACCCTAGGGAAATTAAAAAGGAGTATAAGGGAATGTTATGAACAACTTTAAGCCAACAAACTTAACAACTCAGTTGAAACACAAATTCTTAGAAAGAGACAAGTTACCAAAAGTGATGGAAGAAAAAATAGAAACTCTAAATGAACTTATATCAAGCAAAGAAATTGATTAATAACTTTAATCTCCCCACAAAGAAAAGTCCTTGCTCAAAGACAGCTTCACTGGGTAAGACTATCAATCACTTAAGACAGGGAATATATCAGCCCTACATAAAAACTTTCAGAATACATAGATGAGGAGGGAAAAACTGTCTAATTCAATTTTACCCTAACAAAAGTCAGACAAAACAATGTAAAAAAAGAAGAAAACCACAAACCAATACTCCTAATGAACGTAATCTTAAAATCCTTATCAAAATATTAGCAATTAAATACAGCAGTTTATACATAGGATAATGACCAAATGGGATTTATCCTAGAAATGTTAAGCTTGGTTTGACTTCTGAAAATCAATGAGTATATTATATTAATGAAATAAAAAAGAAAGCCATCTGAACATCTCAACAGATACAGAAAATTCACATGAAAATATGCAACCTTTATTTGTGATTAAAACTTTCAGCAACGAGGAATAAAAGGGAAGGTCCTCAACTTGATAAAGGGCATCTATGAAAAACCTACAGCTAACCTCTCACTGAATAGAAACACTAGATGCTTTCCTCCTAAGATGGTAACAAATCAAGGATGTCTGTTTTTACCACTTTTACTCAACATTGTACTAAAAATCCTAACAAGCACAATAAATCAAGAAAAAAGAGTGAAGTCACAGAGACTGGAAACAAAGTAAGTCTGTCTTTTCACTGGCAAGGTCTTATATGTAGAAAATCCTAAGAAATGTAAGAAAACACTAGAAAATTTAAAAAGCAAATTTAGCAATGTCACAGAGTACAAGATAAACATACAGAAACAAACTGTATTTCTATATGCTAGCAATGAACTACCAAAAAAATGAATTTAAAAAGTTCCATTCACAATAGCATTAAAAAGAATAAAACAAGAAAAAATTTAACAAAAGAGGCTTAGTTGTATCTGTACACTGAAAACTATAAAAATCCTTTCAGGAGAAATTAAAAGACCTCAGGAGAAGAAGAGATGTGCGCTGTCCATTGACCAAAGACCAAAAATTGTTAAGATGGTAATTAAATACAATTTTTTCTAAAGCTGTGACATCTAATTAAACTGTCTTAGAGTATCAAAATACTATGTATCAACATTTTCCATACAGTAGCCACTAGCTACCTATGGCAAGTGGCATTTGAAATAAGGCTAGTCCAATGAAGAAATAACTTTTTAATTTAAATTAATCTTAACTAATTTAAATTTGTAGTTAGATAACTACATGTAGCTAGTGGCTACTATAATGATCACTGGAGATCTATAGATTCAACACAGTCTCAATCAAAATATTGACATGCACTTTGGTAGCAATAGAATATTCAATGCTTTTAAAATTTATATGGGAGAGATTGGATTAAAGATGGCAGTGTGAGAGGTGAGACAGAGGCCTCCTGTTAAAACCACATATAATATGAAAATATAATTAATACAACTAATCCTGAAAAAGCAACAGGAAAGAAGGCTGCGCCAGACTGCATACACCTGGAGAAAAGAACAGACCTCAAGTAACATACCAAAGCCGAGATCTCGTGGGGCCCATGCCCTTCTCCCACCCCAGCTCCCTGGTGGAAGGAAGAGAAATGGAGCAGGTAGGGAGTGAAGGCCTGAGACTGCTGAACACCTAACCCTGGAGATCTGCTCTTTGAACATGAAACTACATTGCATGGTGCTCTTTTGATTAGTGGGTTTGGAAAGCTAAGACAGGTGGAATGAAATATCTGGAGAGACTGAGATTCTAGCCGCTTGTGGAAAACAGGGATCCACATCTGGCTGCTCTGGGACAAAAGAAAGGAGGGCAGTCTGAGAGACTTCCTAACAACAAGAAAGCTGCTGAAGGGACAAGGATTACACAGAGCTTGCTCAGGAAAAAGGACAGGTAGACAAAATTGTCCAGGCTTACTCTGCCCAGCAGGTTGGGATCTGTAAGGAGTCACAGGAGTTCGATCCCCCTGGCTGGATATGAAGCTTCAAGGCCCCACACCATGATATGCAGCCCTGCTGCACATTTCTCCCGGCCAGCCCACACCTGGCTTGCAAACAGGCAGCCCCTGCCCTGGCATCAGGCCAGTCAGAGGGAAGCCCCGCCTATGGCAACTACAAATGCAAAGCAGAGGCTTACAGCTATTTGTTCAGCCCACTGGTTCTGGCAGTGGAGACAGGCATAACAGCTGGGAAGCAGGAAACAGCTCTTTCCTCCTGCCAGGTGCCAGCATGACCCCTGACATCACACCAGGGGCTGAGCAGTTCCAGAGAGCAGAGTTTCTGGGCACTACAGGGCATCACATACAAACATGAAATGCCAAAGGAACCTGTTTCAAACAAAAATCTCTCAAACACCTGAAAAAGGATCAAGTAAAACAGGTCTTGTCAATCTTCCTGAAAGGCATTTCAAAATAAAAATCATAAACATGCTCATGGAGGTACAGAAAAATATTCAAGAGCTCAGGAATGAATGCTGGTCTGAAATCCAATCACTACAGAATACAATGGAAGGTTTTAAAAGCAGATTAGATGAAGTAGAGGACACAGTAAGTGAAATAGAAATTAGAGAAGAGGAATACAAAGAAGCTGAGGTACAGTGGGAAAAAAGGATCTCTAGGCATGAAAGAATATTGAGAGAACTGTGCGATCAATCCGAAAGGAACAATATTTGTATTATAGGGGTACCAGAAGAAGAAGAGAGAGAAAAAGGGATGAAAAGTGTCTTTGAGGAGGTAATTGCTGAAAACTTCCCCAATCTGGGGAAGGAGATAGTCTCTCAAGCCATGGAGATGCACAGA